ATATGGTTTATGATTTATTACTTAATTAATTTTAAAAAAAGCAAACAGGCCGTTCTAGCTCAGTTGGTAGAGCGCGTGGCTTTTAACCACGTGGTCGTGGGTTCGAGTCCCACGGATGGCGAGTTCTTTTTTTTTTAAAGTTTTTTTGTTGCGTATGTGGTCTATTTATTTACACGACGTCATAATACATTAATACTAACCCATTAATTGAAAAGGGAGGAAGCAAGAAATCTCCATAAATCATTTCCAAGATTGAAATTGAGTTCATATAAATTTATTTCGGCTCCAAATTTCATCCATTGCAATAATATAATATGACTACATATGTTGAATCTTAAACTAGATTTTGAAGAAAACAGCAGTTAATTGTTAAACGAATATATAGGTAGGTAAGAACTGAGAGCATACCTCGCCGATTCCAGAAGAAGCTCCGGTGACGATGACAACTTTGTTATACATATCTTCATGATAAAGAAAAGAATAGTAAAGCCATTCACAGGTGTTGATGAAAGTAAGTGCCGGCCATGAGAAGGCCAGCATCACTAGACTTGCAGGTGGTACAACCCAATTAAGCACAGAATTGATCGTATCCATCATCACCATATGTCACCAACACCAAAACAAACACCTTACAAATTAAGATATGCTTTGCTGAGTGAGAGAGAAATAGAGAAGATCGAGTGGATGGTTGGATAGATAATAAACAATTTCAATGATTATGAAAAATTAAAGCGGCGAGTGACGACGAATCCAGAAGAGAAATGAGCTGCCTGCTGCTGTTGCTACTGGCAGTAAGGTGGTGGTGGTCATGCATGCGAGGAACACGTGTTGCCTTCTCAGGCTGGTGTCGTGACGGAGTGGGATGTTGGATGACGCTACCGGCACTGTCCCCAAGACAGATTATTGTCATGTTATGTTATAAAAACCAAAAGCATCTTACGACAAATTTGATAATTTTAGAAAGACTTATTTTTCCACCAACCTTTTTAATAAAAATTCCGAGTTCATTCTCTATGTAAAATACTTTATAAAAATCTTCATCTATTTTGTCATTAATTTCCTAAAGACATGTCATATTTTTAAAAGAAATATTTCTTGACGATAATAAATAAAAATATTCTAGAATATTTATATTAACCTTAATTAATTAGTCAACATAATAAACATTTGAAGTTCAAGTATAATTAATAGAGTAAAATGATTGTTTAATAAATTTGTTAGGCACAAAACCAAAAAAAACTCTAAGCAGAAGGAATATTTTTGAGAATACAAGGACTAAAATAACAAAAGTTTAGAATTAAAGGACTAACTCTGTAAATCTAACAGGTATTTAAACTAGAAGTACTTTTGTTCCCGCCATAAAAACCGTTCCTCACAAATACAATCTATCTGCAAAAGAAAATCTTTGGTTGAGCTGATTTCAAGGGTTTCAATTCTGCTGTTTAACAATGGCCTTAATTTCGGAACCTAGTTTTCCATGTTTTTCTGTAAGTAATTAAACTATTATCCAGTTTTATTTAACTAACATGTATGCTCTTAATTTCTTTATATCATAATGGATGGGTATCCAATAATGCTGTTGTATTTGTTTATAAGTTTTCCATTTTTGGCTTTTCAGAAAAATGCTTTCGTCAAATCTGTTATAAAATTCAGATACGAAGCAAAATCCAGCAAGGGAAAAGCTTTTGGAACCCCCAAATCACCTTCTGGGTTATCTCACAGAAACGACCAGAAATCCAATCATCAGATTTCACATACAAATTATTCATATACATATTTATATGATTTAATTTGTGTGGATCTGATGCAAGATTTCTGGTTTGTGTTCTGAACATATCTTCCCTTCCGTTATTAATTTCTTTTTTTTTGTTGATTGTAATCAATCAATCTGTTTTCATCCCTGGTAGCACTGATCTGAATCATTCAAAATGGTATGTTGTTAACTATTACACCAAAAAACTTGAAAATTTCGGTATAATCTTTCAGTTTCTTGAGATTTTTTGTTGAAAAACATATAGAAAAGAAAACCCACGTTTCCTTTGGGGTAAGAAAAAAAAGCCTGGAATTGTAAATTCTGGGAAAGTGGGAAGCTCAAAAAGCTTCTTGCATTTTGTTTTCCCCAAAAGAGCTTCATGAAAGCTGTAAGAAAACACAAAGGTCTAATCCTGGAAGTTTTCCACACTTGGGTTGTTGAAAATTGATTCTCAATCGAGATAAACCCTTGTATCTATTTTTTTTTTTTTTTTTTTTAAAAAAAAGGAGCAAAATGGGTGGGATATGCTCAAAATCAAGCTGCGGAAGGGATAGAAATGATTGTGAAGAAGAGGAAAGCAAATATTCTGATGTACAGGTGGCTGCACCTTCAAAGAGACAGGGTGTTTCACAACATGGTAAAAATGAGACAAAAGATTGCCATAAACAATCACTATCTGAAAGGGTACTTGGTTCAAAAAGAATGCAAAAGATTAAAAGCATAGTAGGTGGCACTCAAGGTGCACAAAAATCAGCCCAATGGCCCTCATGGCTAACCTCAGTTGCTCCAGAAGCCGTACACGGATGGACCCCACGCAGTGCTGACTCATATGAGATGCTAAACAAAGTTAGTACTCATTTTATTTACTCATATTTCATGCTTCATGCTTCATGCTAAACAAGCTTAGTAACAGAATATGATAATTTTTTGAATACAGATTGGTCAAGGCACATATAGTAGTGTTTACAAAGCACGTGATTTGCAAAATGATAGAATCGTTGCTATAAAGAAAGTACGTTTTGTTAATATGGATCCAGAAAGTGTCCGTTTTATGGCCAGGGAGATTAGTATCCTGCGTAGGTTAGACCACCCGAATGTCATGAAGCTTCAAGCTTTGGTTACTTCAAAGTTTTCAGGGAGTTTGTATCTTGTTTTTGATTATATGGAGCATGATCTTGCTGGGCTTTTAACATCTGCAAGAGTCAAAAAGTTCACAGAGCCACAGGTTTCTTGATTTCTTCATATTCTATAATCAAAATCTTTCATATTCTTCTATAATGAAAATCTTTGTATTTACGTGTATAGATTAAATGTTATATGCAACAACTTCTTCGTGGAATGGAGCACTGCCATAATCGTGGTGTTTTGCATCGAGATTTAAAGGGTTCAAATATTTTACTTGACAACAATGGAATTCTCAAGATTGGAGATTTTGGTTTGGCTGCAAGATTTGAGCCTGGTCAAAAAGAACCGTTGACTAGCCGTGTTGTAACTTTATGGTATAGAGCTCCTGAACTTTTATTCGGTTCCACATCATATGGTGTCTCCATTGATATGTGGAGTGCAGGCTGCATCCTTGCAGAGCTTTATACAGGAAGGCCTATCATGCCAGGAAGAACAGAGGTTGAACAAATACATAAGATCTTCAAGCTTTGTGGTTCACCTTCAGACGAATATTGGATGAAATCAAGATTACCTCATGCGACTAGTTTTAAACCTAAACATCCTTACGATCGTAGAGTTTCTGAGATATTTCAACAGCATATGCCTCCTTCTGCTTTGGCTCTTTTGGATACCCTCCTTGCAATCGATCCAGAAGAACGTGGTACTGCAACTTCCGCACTCGCTAGTGAGTTCTTCACGACGAGCCCTCTTCCTTGTGATCCATCGGAATTACCGGAATACCCTCCGAGCAAAGAATTTGATGCCAGGTATCGAGCAGAGGAAGCTAGAAGGTAAATATCTGACCTAAAACGACATGGATTTGTCCGATTTCTGTTGTATACGAACCTAATTTTGGATTTTTCAGGCGGAAAGCTGAAGCGATGAAAGGACATGTGCCTGAATCTGTTAGGGTTGGTGTTGTCGAATGGAAAGCACAATCTAAAGCACAGGTGGCGATGAATGCGAGAAACTTCAATGCTCAAGGGGAGAATCGAAACGTGAAGAAAGGATTCTCGTATTCCAACTCGGAGATCCATCAAAGTGCAGTTGCGGGATATTCTAAGAATATAAACGACGATGCTTGTACAAGTTTAAGGATGGGGCCTTTACGGATTGATCCTGCTATGAAGCGACCGATGTCTAACACCCATCAAGCAGCAGATCCCATGAAGCTTGATAACCCTGTAATTTTGCTTTACCATGTTTACTTGTTTTTGCAGTGTATTATGTGAAGAAGAGCATTTGATCAGATTATGAGTTGTTTTCAGGGGCAAGGAAAGAGTGTAAACAGAGAGTATTCTGGACCGTTGATGCCAGGTGGAAGGACGGAGGACATGCTGAAAGAACACGAAAGACATGTTCAAGCTGCAGTCCGAAGAGCACGAGCAGACAAGAACAAAAGTAGAATGGCATGATGGAATTTTACTTTCATGGGAGTCAAATGATGATATGTTTGAACGTGAAGGAGTGCGGCTGTTGTGAAACATAAGGCAAAATAGAACGAAGATACAAAGGGGTGAAGCTGCGGGTTTCATGGTGGAATCGGTGGTGATGTATGTTGTTGTTGTGTGGCTGGAAGGAATTATTCAGGCTTAAAACAATAAATAAGTAAAGCATACCATTGTAAAAAACACAAGTTGAAATGTTTGAAATAGAGATTCAGTCGCTTTCTGGTTTACATAATAATGATTCCTCTCCTCGTGTTATAGCAACATGTTGATGGTGATTGCAACGTAAGAAGTAAGAACCACTTGTTATGAACATGACGCACCTTACACTATGTTTAAGGTATATTGAACTGCGACTCATATCAACTGAATAAAAGTTACAAATCTTTGTCCTACCCAACCAGGTGGGAGTTGAACAGGTTAAGTAGCGCTACATAGCAATATATTTTGTCATTTTAACCAAAACAAGCAACATACTTTTGTATCCATAATAGCAACCAACTTACATTTTTCTACCAATTCAGACAACATGCAACTTAGAAACCTTAAAATGCCAACATGGCATGGGTTTAATCCCTATTTACCCAAGTATAATATTGCAAGTTAAATGCACAAAACATGATTATAAGTTATAACTACAAGTAGAGCATAAAAAGGTTCATATAAAAGTTTAAGGAAAAAGTTTTCTACATTGACCCATTCTGTACAATTCGAGACTACACATACAATAGTTCCTTTCATTTTATTTCAACTCACAATACATTCCAATTAAAAATCCTGCTTTGGCTTGCGGCTAAGCTCCGAGTAACTTCCTCCCATAAGCTGCAAAATCTCCTCCCACAACCCATCAGAAGAAGAAGACAAAGAAGAACTCTGGGTCCCACCAAATATCAAATTGGAACTACATGCCGCCACATGCCATAAACCCGCATCAATCTCTTCCTTCAACTGATCAATTTGCCACCCCGCATACCCAACAAAAAATCTAAAATCTTGTGGCTTTAGCACCCCGGATTTCACCAAACCCGAAGCTTCATCCAAACTGTTTCGAGAACCAAAGGATAAATTCGGAATAACTTCTTCAAAATCAAGAACGGTTTTTTTGGGCCCGGATCTCAACAGGAATATGCTGGCTTCAAGGGGCCCACCGAAATGCAACAAACAGTCGGAAAATGTTGTTGCTAAATGGAGATTTGTGGGTTTCATGTTTTTGATCTTTTTGTGGAGCGGGCGGTTTATGATTACGCCAAACGGGCCTTCTTGTGGGTGGCGGGTCCCAGATCCAAGTAGGAAGACAACGGATCTTTCAAATGTTTGAACCCCATCGAGCTTTTCTGTTGCCACAAGGACACAGCCGGTTTCTGGGGCGCTTAGGGGGTGGGCCCATTTTGACCCTAGACTTTTAGACTCATGAACTACCCCTTCATCTTGTTTGTTAAGCATTGACTGCATAGTAAAAAGTCAATTCTAGTGTTTTGTGTTGATATTTTAGGTAAGGAAAATGGAGTGTGATTTGGAAATGTTACCTGCTGATTGAGGTAGAGGACTGCTCTAAATTCTCTCCAGTCTGTGGCTTTATAATGGGATTTTGGATTGCTTTCAGGCTCAGTGGGATTGTTTCCTTTCAGGCCCTCTCCTTCTGGAATAGAATGATCCCCATTGCCTGGATTTATGTATATATAATATAACACTTACAAATGAATACATATGTGAATGTATGTATACATTTAGGTATTATGTGTATGTATGTGAGTAGAAGGTATATATACATATGTGTGTATGTATATAGGTTCATAGATGCATATGTGTGTTTGTAACTTTGTATACATAATATATATAAACAAAGAAGGTATGTATGTATGCAGCAACTACAAGACGAAAATTTAAAGTATGTTGCTATATTGTGTAGACAATCATACATTGCCTAAAAATGGACCAAAACTATAATTTGTTACTACTGTGTGTAATAAATATATTAACCAGATTAAAAATTGGTTGGTAATACTATTCTTATTATGTGTATTCAATCCTTACAATAACAGTACATAAAAACCAGACTTTTCCCCATTAAACTATCACCAAAACTTTTGATTAAATTATTAAATTGACTTTTTTTGGTTGACTATATTTGCATTTTTATTTGACTCACAGCCTTGCTAGTTGAATATAACGGGTTAATTAAGAATTAGATAATAGTTTGAAAAAAAAAAAGAGAGGGCATACCTAACACTAAAGGCAAATTGCACAGAAAAGAAATGTATTTCAGTCAAATTGTTGTGTAAGTTATAAGTTTATAATCAGATAAGGGACCCACCAAATCCTAATCAGTTAAAACAGAAATTGACTTATTGGTAACTGAGTGTTGATTTGGTAACCAGGTCCATTATAAAAGAGGTCCAATATCAAAATCAAGTGGGGTCAACTAGATTTTATGCAACTTTATCAACTGAGCTATAGATCACAATTTGATATAATTATCTAGATAATACCTTAGTAAAAGTTTCCATAGTTGGAAAAGTCAATGTGTGAAATGATGGATAACAGATTTGAGTAAAGAAGACGGATTAAAAGGAAGAAAAAAAAAGGTGGAAGGGAGAGGATGCAGATGAATTTATAGAAACATAGGGAATGGTAAGGAATTTGTTTGCTTACTGGTGAAAGAGGAAGATATATAGAAGTCCAACTTTTTGTTCACATTCATGAACTTTCGATAATCTGTTAGTTTTATTATTTGAATTATCTATTTGGATCATCTGTCAAAACTTGTTTAGAATTGAGATTTTCAGATAATGCCTTTTAGGTTATGATTGTTTTAAAAGTCAAACTTGCAGCATATTACTTTGGTTTTATGTGTTCATTTAACTGTTTGCGAATGTGTTCTCTTCATTAATGCATCCTCCGTCTTTTGTCCACACAAATGGACTCATGCAGATCAAATTTCAGTTACAGTCTGCAACTTAAATGATCACACTATGGATAGATTCATCCAAGAAGTATATTCATCAAGTAAAAAATTAGGTGACATTCAGCCACATCCAAAAACTTTGATTATTTTAATCTTATAATTGTCTGTGTTTAACGTATTTTACATTGTGATTGAAAATGACTCGTAGTACAGATAATCTAGACAACTTTATCCTTCTTAAGGTTATTAGACAATTCAAAACAACCTCCATAAAAGGGAAATGCATCAATATTAGTGGAAATCAACAAAAACTCTGAAAAACTAAGAACTCAAACATGTTCAATTTGTTACCATAAGCTAGGTCGTTTCTGGTTATGTTATAAATGCACTATCTTTCATGTAGTTTTAATCATCAGAAACCAATTTAATTAGAAAACAGCTACATATTTTATAAAAAAATGGGTAATCCCAAAAACATATTTTACAAAACAAGCGGTATTCAGAAGAAGATGAAAGACAACACATCAACAAATTAGAAAACCCTAAATTATTGAAGAAAAAAAATATAAACGCACCTGCAGAAGATGATGAATCAGAGTTATTCTGCGAATTCTTCTTTCCCATAGCTCGCACGACGAAGGATTGATGAGAAGAAACAGTTCCTCTTGGTACCCTGATCTCGCATACCTTTCCAACATCGAAAGAAGCCATCTTTCTTGATTTCCATGACGAAATAGGTTTATCGCACAAGTGATTAGTCTTCGATATATAAGGGCATCGAGCTGCAGTTTTGATCTGTACGGCGCACAGATCCATCAAGATCCTCCTCTCTAGCTTTTTCTTGATAATTACGATCGGTAAGATTGGGATTTTTATAAGTTGAATTGGAGAGTTTTTTAGTTTGATTTCGCAGAAATCATGGTAATGTCAGATGAGGTCATCGTAAAAGGATGATAAAGGAGGACCGAGTGAGGAATTCAGTGGTAATTAATGCGGATGTGCGAGATAGAGAGTAACGAAGATGAAAGGGAAATGGAGAGGAACGTGTGTGTGTGTGTGTGTGAGAGAGAGAGAGAGAATATGCCAAGATATAAACCGTTTTTTTATTGGTAAAGAGTCTAAAACGACTGGGGCTACTTCCATTTTAATCCATCCATTATCTATTGCAAAATATTAAGAAAATCATTAACCACACTATCGTTTTGACATTTTTTTTTTGTTTTAACCATCTAACTAATACTTTTCTGATTTATTCCTTTGGACTTTGATTTTTATTTCTTCCTAAAAAACCATTCTAACCGAATTTCATAGGTTTTCCAGGTCAGAGTGATGATATGGTTTTCTTCAATAAAAAACTTGAATTATGTGGCATTATAATCAAAAGTTGTGGCCAATTTCATTTAAAAAAAATTAGATGTCCAGCCTAGCTACTTCATTTATCGAATGTCATGTATTTTTTTAAATGAATGTCATGTCTCTTTTTATTATTATGATGTCTTTTATTTTAATTGTTAACGAATGAAATTTTTGTATGATAATATTTGTATTTAGATCGACTATGGTGGGTATTTCTAAGTGGTGCCAATGTGGTGTTGAGGTGGCCGAAATTTTGGATGGTGGAGTGAGACCATGCCACGTAGCCTAACTAGGACATAAAAGAAAATTATGAAAGGATAATTACGAATAACAATTAATAAGCCTAACTGATCTCTTAACATATCTTGTGAGACGTGTATGTATCCTAAATTAATGATAAAACCGGTACTTTTCTTCTCTCTTCAAGCATGTTTTGTGTTTATTAAATTTTTTATTCTTCATTAACAGCAAACCCTAGAGATCTTTCGCTTTCAGGTATTTGTTTTGTACTTTTTGCATGATTTATTCTAGCGCTTTGAATTGCCTTCAAAATGTTCAGCGCTTTAATGATATTTTTTGCAATCAAATCACAATACTAATGACTATTGTTGCTCTAGGCTAGTACATCAACCTTGTTCACATTGTTACTATATGGCAAATAATTGTAATTTTAACAGTTATATAGGCATGCGCCTTTATTCTATTTCAGTAGAGAAAGGGATTGAGGAAGAGTACACATGACACTTTCTCGATTCTAGTTGTCATGTACATATTTATTAAGCTTAATGCAGTATATGATCGGGAATCATGCTATTATAGGCAAATGTAAATTAAGTTATGTATTTGATAATTTCTCTCTCACCAAGTACACGCTTATGGAACAATTGGTACTAGTTTGTTGTGTTGTGCATCTGATATACGTGTAAAAGACAATTTATCTTATGGTGGCATTGATATACACTTTTCTCATCACAATCATGCCACTTAAACTGATTTGGAATTTGTTTATGATAGATTTTCAAATTGTATGATGGGGGGATATCCATTTGAGGAAGATTGTGAGTTTATATGGCCTCACACTCTTGTTTTGGTTGGAAAGACTGGAAATGGGAAAAGTGCTACTGGGAATAGCATCCTTGGAATGCAGATGTTCAAATCAAAGCGCAGTTCATCTGCTGTAACAACTACTTCTGAATCGAAAACAATTGCATTGGAAGATGGCCAAACTCTTAATGTGATTGACACTCCTGGTATATACATTGACTAAGCCACAAAAGTATACTACTTATGACAAGTCTAGTATTAATTTGCAACTACTTTGATGATATTCTTTTTAGTGTTATATTGTTTGTTTATAGACTGTTAACACTGACACTCTGGCAGGATTGTTCAACTCTTTTTTTTATATTGATTTTGTTGGGAAGGAGATTCTCAAGTGCATCAGTATGGCTACGGATGGTATTGATGCCTTTCTTGTTGTCATCTCAGTTCGTTGTCGCTTTGCAGAAGATGAAAAAACTGCTATAAGTAGATTGCTCACTTTGTTTGGAAGAAAATTTTACGATTACATGATAATAGTTTTCACTGGTGGGGATGAACTTGAAGATGATGATGAGAGCTTAGAAGAGTTTTTACGTGACTCTCCCAAAGCATTACAGGTAATGTAGTCACATAGCCCAACAAATTTTATAGCATTGCCTCATTGCTTGTGTATATATTAATATAAATTCCTATGTTTGTCTTTGCTTAATCAACAATTGTTTATTATTTCAGGAAACCCTTAACTTGTGTGGGAATCGGTGTGTTCTCTTTGACAACAAGACAAAAGATCCAACTAAGAAATCAAATCAAGTGCAAAAGCTGCTTTCTCTTGTAAACACGGTTTCAAAAAATAATGGAGGAAAGCCATATACCAACGAGATGTTTACTGAACTGAAGGTGAAACTTATTATTATTAATTTATTGCAAATCTACACTTGACCTGTAATTATGACACCACGTTGCAGTCATCACACCAACAATATTTGTTTTACAGAAATGTACCCAGGAACGTGATGAGCAGCAGATATCAATGTTCTATGAGCAATTTAAGCGAATATATGAAATGGTATTCTAACACAGTGCATTATTTAAAATTTTATTAGATTTACATATGTATCAAATGACATATGCTAAATATCATAGCATGTTTTGAAATGTTTGTGGTAGAATTCAAAATAGTCATGACTACTTTGTAAAAAAAAAAGATTAAGCATGATGGCGGTCAACAGGTTGAGTCAAAGCTGAAGGAGACAACTATGAGGGTTGAACAAGTATTGGCAGAAGAGCAGACTGCTCGGTTGAAGGCTGTATAGAATACTACAACTGCTCAAAAGAACTTAGAAAAAATGTTACAGAAGGTGAGCAACTATTGACTGAAGAACGGATGTTATGATATGTTTGTGGTTAATTAGTCCAAGTAGTCCATACCTACTCTTAAAAATGAAAATGATTATGTACATGTATCTGAGATGTTATTGGTTGACAGGTTGACTCAGAAATCAAGGAGAAAACTTCGAAGCTTGAACAACTATTGACTGAAGAACGGATTGCTCGGCTGAAGTCTGAAGAGAATGCTAGAATTGCTCAAAAGAAATCAGATGAGGAGATTCAGAAGGTCAAACTTATTATATTGTTCATTAGTTGTTATTTCAGATTTACACTTGACATATCATTACAAGACCTTGTAATATTAACAATGTTACACAATTTAAGTATGAGAGACTTATTATTAAATAAGATTAGGCATGTGATGTTATTGGTTGACAGGTTGAATCAACGTTCAAGGAGACAACTTTGAAGCTTGAGCAACTATATGAAAAAAATGTTGACAGAAGTTCTTGATTCGACTTGAGTGAGAAGTTTGCGAATGGTGTCTCCATGGTCACATCTCTAGCTTTAGCCATCCATTATCCAACCATTGCAGCTGCTCCTCGCATGCTCATCAATGGTTACATGAATGCTTTGTCCATTGCTGTTGCAACTAATTACTCTTCTGGTGGTGGTGCTCCGGTGGAAGAGATGAAGGAAGTGCCAAAAGTGGAGTCCGATGATGACATGGGCTTTGGTCTGTTCGATTAGATGATTGATGTTTGGGAGTTCAGACTTTATGGTTTTTAGACAAGTTTCTGTGTTTGTTTTGGTTGAGTAAGATTGTGTGTTGTTTATGCTTTTTCAGTAATCGTACTTGAATGTTGGGTTTTTTTTTACCCTTTTATCTTGATAACATTTTTCATTAAAAAAATAATAAATAAATAAGAACACACACTACACTTATTATTTCTCTTGACGCTTGGTATACAACATCTACTAAATGAAGCCTTCTATTTATAGTAGAGGCTTGGTGTTAACGACATCATTGCTTCATATATGTGGCATAGTCCTTTCCATTTAGACTACATGCGTTCAACAGGGTATGCTAAATATCATGAGCAGTTTGTAAACCGGGGTTACGAACATCGCTTCTTCACTGAATAAGAATAATATATAGCTCGTTGATAATATCTTAAGTCCTTAAAAACACAATTATAAGGATTAAATTAAGTTGATTGCACTCTACCTAAAGCAAGGACATGTAAAAAGAATGCAACTATTGGTTGAGGATCATGTTACTTCAAGTGATCTTATTTGGAAGAGCAATAAACAAACATGTCAGACAGTTACTCACCTCAAGGCTCAACATCTCATTTCGACCCATTTACTAGTTCATGTCGATACTTATGAAGTATTTGTTGAAGGCATTTAGTAAAAATACAATTTTAGTTGAATATAACAATTAATTACTAAACTATGTGTGTGTTTAATCCAAAATTTTATCTTTTAAGTCAAGTAACAAACTCATCCAAAATTTCTATATTTCAAGTCCATCCATTAACAATAATCTTGATCTCACGATTGACACAATCGATCCCCCCGTCAGCTACAAAACAAACATTTCCATTTTCCAAAGATCACTAGGCCCTGAAAATGACCACAAACAGATCCAATTTTAACTTGGTAAAAGAAGCTTCTAATCATACTTTTACTTTAAAATAAGGCCATAAACTAGAAAACAACAGGGTAAGAGTTAGTTGATCATAAACAAACCTACCTTAACCTTACTGGAGTTTCTAATTCACAAGCGCTCAGTGAAGCTGCGAAAAGATGATCACGCCTCTTCTCAATGAAATTCTGCCTTAACTCTTCAAATCTCCCTTCTGTAATTGCTTCTCTAATAACCCCAAAGAAGGACAAATAGTGATGTGTATTATGTCTGCAAGAACAACAACAAAAAAAAAGTTGAAAAAATATATTGGGAATAACAAAAGTAATAAATTGAAAGGATATGTTTTTTACATTTCAAGAAGAATATGAGCCAACATCTCATGGACATTAAGCAAATGATTGATGTATGCTTTGGTATGGTTCTGGCATGTGTAGCAAATGCACCCATCAACAATCCGTGATGCATCTTTCCTGCCCCATAATAATAAGTTATTATTAATGTTTTTCTATCATATAATAACTAATTACTTATAAATGATACATGTCAAGTAATAATATACCTATAAATGGTTGCTTTTAGATTTATCTTTGTGCCATCACTAGCCATAGCACTTAGCCCAGGGTCAGACACATGTTTACACTTTCCATCAAGCGGGAAGACAAGCGCAAATCCTCCAAGGGTAAGATGGTAAATATACCTGTTCAAACACTTGTATCAGCTTACAGTCAACAAAAGGTCAAAGCAGTTATTGAAACCTACTTACGTGGAGTCAAAGAGGTCAATGCCTGCAGCAATACCCTGCAATACCTCCTCTGCATTCATGGAAGAAAGATTCTTTGGTTAATAAAAGAACAAAATGTCAGCTATATTACTTTCATGCTTCATGAATAATAAAAAAATTTATAAGATATGTAGACAATTAAAATGAAACATAAACTAAAAGCTTCAAATGTAGTAAAAATAATACCTGGAAGTCCAAGGCCACAAACATGTCGAGGCTTTTCTTTTGGTAACAAGTCCTGAAAACAACCATTACAACTCTCTTGACATCAATATTTACATAAAACTAGTATTAAAAATGCAAAGTGTTAATTAATACATTTTCCATATAATTACATGGAATTCTTTAAATGTAAGTGTTTCTGATAACAGCTAGACTATAGTAATAGTACCGTAACAGCATGTAAAAGTGTAGCCCGTTCATCAACACTATCTCCAAGCCCAAAACCGCCAATATAGAAACCTGGAATGCCACATAAAAATGATTACTTTAATTAGAATTTTCTTTTACAAAATGGAATCTATAGTTTTTATTCAATATCTTGAGGATTTAGCATGCTTTCACTTTAAATAACTTAAGAACATAGCATACCGGATACGTTTCTCTTAGCTACCTCCTGAGCACAACGTTGGCGTTCTTCAATACTGCATCCTCCAACAATGGATCCAAAAAGAGCTCCATCTGTCTACATTCCACTAATTATTACAAGAAAATTTGCAAGGAATAATGGTGTTCATATGAAAAGTAAGATGGATTACTGATTTTAGAGAAATGCAATCATCAAGCCATTTGATAGTTCGGTCAACAGAAGCTTTATTCCTCTTTGTTGTAACTGAAGCATGTACTTCATCAGCTAAACTGACCCACAAGTCTGGTTTCATTGAAGAGATCATCTTCATGTACTCCACAGGTTTCACCTGAAAAGATACAAAGCATTATGAGTATAATGGTAAAGGAATAGAAGACTGGGTATAGATGATATGAATTCAAGGGAGGTGTTAGGGAATTGCCAGGAAACGCCCACATGGAGTCTCAAATGATGCTCCATTCTTATTACTACTATTACATTCTGGAAGAGATAGAATGGAATCCCTTGGAACAGCAACAAATCCATATTCATGCAAACCAAGAAGCTGATGCACTCCTCCAATAGCTGATATTGTCTTCGAATTAGGACCCTCCATACTGCAAGATAGAACAAATGACAGGGGGTGGTCAAAGAGAACAATGTATTCCTATCAAATTGATTATTTAACCCCTCAATTTTACAATTTCACAATCCATGAAACATATCCAGATCCAACAGATATTAAAAACCTACTTTTGGGGAATGAAAAGTTACGGATTACTTACAAGTGCATGGGGCTAAACTGAAGGAGACGAGAATCGGGATTTGGAAGGGATGAAAGGTGGTCAGGGGATATGAAAGCAGGTAAGCCTTTGCGAGTTGTGAGGAGAAGAGCTGGTGTCTCTATCTCTATCTCTTTCTCCGGTGGTCCTCCTTGCGCAAAGCTACTGCTGGTACTGCTTAATTGGAGAAGGCCCACCCTTGCCCGCCCGCCTTTGCTCCACGCCTTCACCGCAAACTTCATCTTCTGAGTCTCTCGTATGCTCTCTTGCAGTATGCCGTCGAGGATGCGTTCTCGCCGTTCCGCCTGTGGCATCGATTTTTTAGTCTGTCGCCGCCGCCTGCAAAACTTTAGAATTTTGGCGGAAGGTTTTGGGTTTAGCAACCAAAGTCGAGGCAAAAACACATTTTTTAACTTAGGGATAATGATTTAACGGATAATGGTCCCGTTTACCTCTTAAAAATTCAGATATGGCTTGTTTGGTATCCTCTTATAAAATACATCTCTTATAAAATACATCTGAATTTGATAAATACCTCTTAAAATTTCAGACTTCAATAGGCATCTGAAAAAGAAAAAGACGCGTGTTGCCCTCCCTAGGTCTCGCTCTTTCTTTTTCTCTCACGCCTCCAGTTTTCTTGATCGACGCACACAGCCACACCTGCGTCCGATCTACTGAAAGCTTTGTTCCCTCTCCGCCATCGCAATCACCGGCCTCCTCTCCGTCTCTACCTCCGTCGCCGACATCTTCTCCGCCCCAACTCCGATTGCTGCACCATAACGACACCGACTCCACCCCCGACGACTTATGCAGGTAATGTCTTCGGCCTCCCTCTTTCTCTTGCTATGTAATCAGATGTGCTATGTCGATTAGGGCTTGAAATTTCGAGTTTTTTTTCCCCTGAAAAGTACGATTTCACAGAATGGTCGTTGTTCTTTTTTTTTTTTTTTCTGAAATCACAGTTGGAATCATATGTGTTGTTTCTGTTTACTGTATATGTTGAAATCAGATGGTTTATGTTAATTAAGCTAGGTGTTCATCAAGAAACCCAAGGAGAGCTCTAAATTATATCACTAGAGGGATTGCTTATTTGATGTTAAAATTCATGTAAAGATACTTTTTGATTAAATCCAAGAATCTATCTTCCATCAATATGTTCTTCAGACCCTTTTAGGGCCTCTATTGATGGAGAATTTTGAAAGGAGATATATAAGTTTTAAAAGTTCTACAAAAGGAGTAGAAGAAGATAAGAAGGAAAAGGTTATTGATGTGAAAAATCTGAATAAAATGAGTTGTGAGAAGGTAGTATCTGTGAGAAGGTAGTATCTGTGAGAAGGTATCTGCTTGGACAATGAAAGAGTTGATTAACGTTTTTCTTCACTTTCTAATGCACTTAAGGAAAATGAAGATGATGTGGGACAAAAAGAACAAAAGGATGGGATAATTACATAGGAAGCTATTATGTTGGTTATGCCATATTTGAGGCACAAGTATTTATTCACATCGACTTTAGTTTGGATTCTATGTATACAAGTAGTATTTGTAACGATCAAATATATGAAGTTGGACCTTATTTGATTTGTATTTGTGTTAAATTTTGATTTATGTTTAATTTGAGTTGTGTATGGCGTTTATATTTTTCCTTGTCATTATTCAAGAGGTTGATTCGATTATTTTATAAACAGAAACTTTTGAACTTAGCAAAAACTTATACAGAAGGGTAAAATGGTCATTTCATAATTCAGCACAACAGTTCAGAGGTTCCAACCAAACAACATATTAAAAATTCAGATCTTAAAAATTCAGACCCTCTTAGAAATTCAGACATCTTAAAAATTCAGATCTTAAAAATTCAGACCGTGCCAAACAGCCCCTTAGGAGGGTAATAACGTTTTCTGTTTGTTCATTTTAGGTCTCTAACATATTTTTTGTGCGTATTACACCATTAAGGTTATTATAACCGTTTACAAATAGTCCTTTTAACATGAAGAAACCGGTAAAAAGGATTATTTCTAAACGGTTATAACAACCTTAATTGTGTAATACACACAAAAAAATACGTTAGGGGACCTAATATGGACAAACGGAAAACGTTATTACCCTTCTAAGTCATTATCCTCGTATGAAACTATAAACCCCTATACTGAATTTTTACTTTTTAAATAAGAAACTTGTAGGTCTTGGGGTTGGTAGTTTGAATGCTTTTAACCTCGGCCTTCTTTATAAATGGAAGTGGCGGTTTCTTAATGACAAGGGAGCTCTTTGGGTTAAAATTGTCAAAATTTTGTCATGGGGAAGGTGGTGGTTTTTCGGACGATTCTAGAATAGGAACTGGAGGGGGTGTTTGGCAAAAGGGTGTAGGATCCATTAATCATCTCCATGAGAATGGTTGTATTCCTTCTAATTCCATGTATAGAGTGGTGGGGGATGGGACTCAAACGAGGTTCTAGAAGGATGTTTGGTGCTTGGATATTCCTCTTAGGGAGCGGTTCGGGAGGCTCTTTGCTTTGGCCTTTAATGAAGATGCTTGAGTAAGTGAATAATGGGATTCGGGGGGATGGAATTTTCATTGGCGTCGGGGGATTAGAGGAGGGGCTGAATCGACCCAATTTGATTATCTTGTGGAGATATTAAATCCTATTCGCATAGGGGAAATGTCGGATAAGTGGTCTTGGGAGCTTGAATCGTCGGGTATCTTTACTGTTAAATCAGCACGAAATTGGGTTAATGATATGACGCTTCCTGTGACATCCCCTAATTTCTCGGCCAGAAAAGACCGATTTAATTTATGCTTTTTAAAATAAAATCAGAGAAATCCTTTTAAAAGATGTTGCGGAATTGGTCCCGAAAACAAAACATGATAAAAGTTTATCAAAACCTTTCTTTAAGAAATATATAATTTCATTTCATATCAAAACCTCGGGATGTCATGTTCCGATACAGATCAAAAGCATAAACAAGACATTATAAGCCTTACAACAGTTATTTACAACTACTGACCTATAACCCAAAAAATCTCTTATCATCCTCCGACTATGCTCGGGGTCCACTACATGTAACATAAAAAGTTGAGTGGGTCAGACTTGGGAGCCTGGTGAGCATATAGGGTTTTCAACCCACAATAATAATAAACTTATTAAGTTCACCAATCAACAATAACCCTGATTACCCATTCCCGTTGTCCTCACTTTACGTCCCTAAACACCTATCACAAGGGACCTAGCCTAAGGAATATCATCGGGATGGACACTACTGCTAAGGGGACTCCTCAGCCATACATGTCCTAAAGGCAACCATGAGGGGGATGGAGTACGCCAATGAACATTTAGTTCACCAACACCTACAAGTTGCGAACCTGCTAGTGTTCCACTGGACTGTCTAGAAAGGTCTGTGGTCGTCATCTATACTCCGCTAGTCGACTACAACAACAACAACAACAACAACACCGAGGCCTCTCACCATTTTAACACACATCGACTATTTCGTCTACCCATGTTCTACCCAACATATTTGTAGATAAAATACATATACAGTTTAAAACTTGTATAAAACATCTGTTCAACAATCACCTCAAATAAACACTTAATATAATTACACATAGCACGTATTTTATAGAAAATATATACTTCATATCTAGGTGTAAGATGAAAGTGACTACACACTCACATGATTTGATGATAATCGGGCAGCACTTCGTTCCCTAAAACGATCGTTTCTAATAAAACCGGGAGTTTTATTGAGAAACCGGGCTCTGCGAGGGTCGGGCTTCAAAACCGAAAAGATAAATTTCTCGGGCTTCTCGGGCACTTCGGGACGTGTTTCGGGTGTTTGGTATAATACCGGGGCTTTGGGGGAAGTTAGAATGAAAGAAATATTGAAAGAGGGGTGAAAATTGACAATTTTTCAAAGTATCCCCGGGAGGTCTCGCACCCTCCTATTTATAGGGGCGAGACTCCTGATCCAAGGGCTGAGAAGCCTCCACGCGTCAGCAGATCCGAATCGAAGTCATGTGGGTCGCACATGCGAGGGTCTTGCTGTGGCCTTCTGATTGGACCGAGGTCTAGTGGTCCAAGGAGGGGGGTTCGTGGCACACCTGCGAGGCTCGGACACGTCAGAAGAGGGTACGCGTCGTACTCCCATTGGACCGAACTTCGGATGCGAGGGCAGGCGACACGCCTCGCCAGGTGGCTTCGGTGACTCATCAAATTTTGGACACGTGGCACGTTTTGAGCGAGGGTGACGTGGCCGAAGTCCACCTTGCGAAATTTCTCGGATTTTGCAATTTTTCTCGATTTTTGCGCCAAAACTTCTAAAATCCATAACTTTCGCATACGGGCTCCGTTTTTGACGTTCTTTATATGCACGCGTAGGTAAAATTACGCTCTACAACTTTCGTTTAGACTTTGTCGGCTAATTTTGTAACATCCCAAAATACGAGCCAAAAAAAATTCATTTTTTTGAACCATATACTTAGCAAACATTAGAAATAAAACATTCACTGATCATATCATTTCATAAAAATGTCGCGTGTCCGGAAACCATTTTATAAAAACATAATAATGTCAGAGTACAAATCCCAGAATAACTCATGATGCGGAAATCAATGTGTGTGTATGATGTGCCGCTACCGCGCCAGCTCTTTCCCCTTCGACGAAGAGGTACCTGAAAACAAAACTATAAACTGTAAGCACAAAGCTTAGTGAGTTCCCCCATCATACCACCTACCATACAGTTACATAACATACATATATTGTCCGGCATATCTGGGTGCCCGACCTACCCTTCGGTCCTCCCGACCGGATACTGTCTAGCATATCTGGGAGCTGGCCTCCCTTTCGGTCCTCTCGACCGGGTTCTGACTAGCATATCTGGGTGCTGGTCTCCCCTTCGGTCCTCTCGACCGGGTACTGTCTAGCATATCTGGGAGCTGGCCTCCCCTTCGGTCCTCTCGACCGGGTACTGACTAGCATATCTGGGTGCTGGTCTCCCCTTCGGTCCTCTCGACCGGGTACTGGGGACTATTTCACCCCCTTACTACTACCACATAACACATTTATCACATAATCTATCTAGCATGGCTGGGCACGACCGCCCCTTCGACCCTATTGGCCGGTAATCTGGGGACTATCTCCCCCTACAGTCACTAGTACATAGCATCATGTCATTTTAGCACATAAACATATCACAGGTAGTAACAACCCTAGATGAATATCACAGAGACAATCATCTATCATGCAACTCCTACTGGTGGGCCGGCATTGTGGCCGTAGACCCACCGCTACTGGAAGGTAACTCACCTCGTACAAGTAATCGCTGATAATCTGTGCGGGAAACCTCCGTCCGCTGCTGCTCCGGAAATCCTCCGGCTACAACCC